GAAACTGTAAACTAACAGGTAGAAGAACTTGCTTTTATCAGAACCACTTTCCTACACAAAAGACTGAATAATTGACAGACTGACTGCTTATAGTAAGTACTGAGACATCAAAAGCTTCCGTACGTGGTTCTGAAAGGGCTATTTGAATAATCTCAGGTAAAACCAGCATAAATAAAAGATGAGCATTCACTTGTTGATTAAGGCCATTTGCTGGACCAACTCAGATACCCAAAGGATGACAGCCTGAATAGAAATCATTTCTGAATGAAACAAGCCGGTTCCCCAGCCAGCGATTAGCCAACTTTTGGACCAAAAAAAGCATTCTGAAGATTGACAAATCCAAATGAGGGTGACCAGGATTCAGAGGGAACCCAGAATCATGCCATATCAGGATGAGATCAAGGAAGCAGAAATGTTTAGCCTAGACAAGTACATGCTCTCTCCAGGTATTTATGGGGCTGTCAAGCTGAAGTAGGATTTGACATGTTTTGCTTACCTCTAGAGGACAAAACTAAGGGCCATTTTAGCTTCTTTACAGAAAAAATTTCCTCATAATAATGAGTTTCTTTAGGAGGTAGTAAGTTCTCTATCAATGAGGGGCCTTTAAGAGACCATTTTTTAAAAAAACACTATAAAGGGAAAAGGACCCACATATACAAAAACATTTATAGCAGCTCTTCTTGTGGTGGCAAAGAATTGGAAATTGAGGGGATGCCTATCAATTGGGGAATGGCTGAACAAGTTGTGGTATATGATTGTTATGGAATACTGTTGTGCTATAAGAAATGATGAGCAGGTGGATTTCAGAAAAACCTGGAAAAATACTTAAATGAACTGATGCAAAGTGAAGTGAGCAGAACTAGGAGAACATTGTACACAGTAACAGCAATAATCAATCGATGTACAATGTTCAACTATGAATGACTTAGCTCTTCGCAGTAATACAATGATCTAAGACAATTCCAAAGGACTCACAATGGAAAATGCTCTCCACATCCAGAGAAAGAACTGCTGGACTCTGAATGCAGATTGAAGTATAGTATTTTCACTTTTTTTCATGGTTTTTCTCTCTTGGACTGTTTCTTCTTTCACAACATGACTAATATGGAAACATGTTTTCCATGAGTGCACATATATAACTACTATATCAAATTGCTTACCATCTTTGGGAGGGGGAAGTGAGGGAGGAGGGAGAAAATTTGGAGCTCAATTTTTTTAAATGAATGTTGAAAATTGTCTTTATGTGTTGTTTTAAAAATAAAATATTATTTAAAAAGAAAAAAATAGAGGAAACCATACAACCATTTGGTGGGGATTCTAAAGAGCTAATTCCTGCTTCAACACAGAATGAACTAGATCACTGTCACTCTCATTCATTGCCCCTAGTCCTTTTTTCTCAGGTCAAGCAGAACAAGTCTAATTAATCTTTGACATAACAGCCCTTCTGGTATTTGAAGGACAGATGTCATTCCCCATGACCATCACATCATCTCTCCTGTAGGCAGAACATCCCCCAGTTTCTTCAAATGTTCCCAACAAGACATAATTCTTCTTACTATCCTAATCACCCTCCTCTTGATCGGCTCCAGCTTGCCCATGTCCCCCATCAAATGTGGTACTGAACACAATACTTCAAATGAAAACTGGACTGGGATGCTTTGCAACCTCCCTGAATTCAAATAATCAACAAAAAGCTATAAACAACCTCCTTTGTACAGAGCACTTTGCCCAGTGAGAGAGAGACACACAAGTTTTCTACAAGCTACATGCCCTGATCTGGAGGAGCTTTCAGTCCAAAAGCTGAAATAATACAGAAGCAACTCCCACTTTGGTCCTCATTCAGTTGCAGTACTCACTGGCACCACCCTAGCTATATTCATTCTTCCATGTGCCAAAGAACTTTGGTGTCTTTATTAACACTCTTGAGGACATTATTTTAACATCTCAAAGAAGAGAAACTATTGCATGCTTTAATGAGGTCCAGGGGACAGCTGGGTAGCCCCAAGGGGTATGGACAGCTATTTAAATATGCAAGTGAAAAGTCAACCATAATCAGATGCTTAATTGGGTGCCTAAATTTAACTGACACATTTACCCACATAAGAAATTATGATTTATTAAATGCTACTCTGTTTATTAAAGCATTCTTTTCCTCTCTCTCTCTCTCTCTCTCTCTCTCTCTCTCTCACACACACACACACACACACACACACACACACACACACACACACACACACAAATTATCTGTCAGGTGATTGGATTTTGGAATACAGTTGTTTGGAATGGGGGGGAAAGGATTCAAGAGGAAATAGGGAGGTGACAATGTTGTTCTTCATTATTTCCTATGAGATATTTGAAATATAAGTGTAGCTTAAGTAATTGTCACAAAGACAAAAGTAAACATGGACCAAATTTTAAAAAAACTGTTAGTTGTAAATGAGAAAAGGTACCTCAGAAATTGTAGCCCAAGATCACATAGCTATTAAATATCTGAGGGCAAGATATGAATCCAGGTCTTCTTGACTCCAAGACAAACACACTATAATATACCTTGTCATCTTTAGTAATAATAACAATTAATAATGAGATACTTAAATCTTCATATACTCTATACTCTATACAGTGTGGTTACCTTTGTATCCTTAGCAGCTAGCAGAGTACATTGCACAAAGCAAACAATACAAGTTAATCAAATGTGTTTGTTGAATGCATTCATATTAAAGGCATGTTATATAGAATGTTCCCATCAGATAAAGCAAAAATCTCACATTAAAACTCTATTTTAGAGACCCTTTTTGTCATTAAACTTGCTGACTTCAAAGGGATTTCTACTTTTCATTTTCTTTTATTATCTTAAATATCACCTAACACAAATATTCCAATACACAAAGAACAAAAAGTTACATGAAACTATGAATATATTATGTATAGTTTGCTTTTTTTAGTATTAAATTTAGCAAGCCAGTAATAAATTTGCTTCTGGTTTTTTTTTCACCTCTTGAACTCTTCAGAGGAATTTCAAAATAATAACTCTGTAGTCATATAAAAATGTTCTTAATCACTATTGATTAGAGACATGCAAATCAAAAGCAACAGCGAGGTGCCACCTCCCACCTATAAGATTGGCTAATATGACAAAAAAGGAAAATATTGGATGTTGGAAGGAATGAGGGAAAACTGGGACACTAATGCGTTGCTGGTGGAGTTGTGAATTGATCTAACCATTCTGGAGAGCAATTTGGAACTACGCCCAAAGGGCTATAAAACTGTGCATACCCTTTGATCTAGCAATATCACTGCTAGATCTATTTCCCAAAGACATCCAATAAAAAGGGGGGAAAGGATCTATTTGTATCAAAAATATTTACAGCAGCTCTCTTTGTGGTGACTAAGAATTGAAATCTAAGGGAGTCCCATCAATTGGAGAATGGCTAAACAAGCAGTGGGATATGGTTGTAATGGTATATTATTGTGCTATAAGAAATGATAAGCAGGATGATTTCAGAAAAACCTGGAAAGACTTATATGAACTGATGGACAGTGAAGTGAACAGAAGCAGAAGAACACTGTACACAGTAACAGCAATATTGTTCAATAAAGAACTATGAATGACAACTATTCTCAGCAATGCAATGATCCAACACAATCCCAAAGGACTAATGATGGAGCATACTATCTGCCTCCAGAGAAAAAACTAATATTGTTTCAATACAGACTGAAGCATGCTATTTTTCACTTTTTTTTTCTTTCATCTGAGTCTTGTACAAAATGACTAGTATGGAAATCTTTTACATAATTGCACATGTATAACCCCTATATGATTGCTTACCGTCTCAGGGAAGGGGGAGGAGAGGGAGGGAGGGATAGAATTTGGAACACAAAACTTTAAATAAAAATGTTTCAAAAATAATTAATAACCACAATTGGCATTTAATTAGCACTTTAAAGTTTGCAGACTGGTTACATATGCCATCTTGCTTGAGCTTCACAATATCCCTATAAAATGGGTGCTACTATTATTCCCATTTTACGGATAAGGAAGCTGGGGCAGACAGACAAACAAAAACACAGGAGGACTAAAGGATCAACCTTCAGTTAACATGGAAAAAGGTTCCAAGACAATGATTTTAACTCCCTAGATTTTGATTTTTCATCCTATATCTTGGGACCAAATAGAAGAATTGGGGATGGGGAAGAGAGAGAGAAAGAGAGAGAGAGAGAGAGAGAGAGAGAGAGAGAGAGAGAGAGAGAGAGAGAGAGAGAGAGAGAGAGAGAGATGTTCCTTTAACAAGTAGAGAAGTTTTTAAAGTTTCTGGAATCTCTTGGGAAAACAATTATTTCAACTGTCTTGACTTGATGAAGAAGCTATAATTAATATCTATGAAACGTTAAGATAAAAAAATTTGCAGACTAAAATACTCATGTGATTTCAAGGTAATTAACAGTTTGGTCTCAGCATCAGTAAAAATAGCCTTTCACCTGAAACTCATTTTCTTTTTGGCGACTGAAGCCATTATGTGAGTGACGGTGGATAGGACAAGCGATTAGAATCCTTTTATGGAACACAGATGGGAGGTGACACCCATCATCAGGAGAGGCAAGTTCCCCTGGTCCGATTAGGAGAACAAACCATCCTTGTGTATTGCCTCTGTAATTTTTTAACCAGTCCTCTGCTCCAGTCAAACACCATCGATTTTCCCCAAAGGTATCTATGCTTTCCTTCTTCTCTGCCTTTGCTCATCTCATTCTCGCCAGGTCTGCTCTTCTACTTCCTCACTCTCCAAAGCCTACCTGTTCCTCAAAACTCAGCTAGAGTTCCTCCTCCTCCATAAAGCCTTCCCCAGACTGCTATGGAAGAGTGCCATGATTATAACAACGAGAACAGCTCAGATCTGTTTTAGTACCTAGGATTTACTTAAAAAGTGCTTTCCTTATGTCACCTGTTTTATTCTCACAGCACCCTATAAGACAAATGGCGTACTATTATCTTCATATTACAGAAGGAAATGCAGAGGCTCAGAGGAAAAAAAAATGGACTTGCCCAAAGACAGAGAGCTAACAAGTGGGAAATCAAGACTCAAATCCAGGTCTTCTGATCCACAGTGACCAGCATGGTTTAGCAGCAGAAAGAGTCAAGGATTGTTGAGGTCAGTGGTCAGTCATTTTTGAGTCACGTGATACTCTTTGTGACCCCATTTGGGGTTTTCTTGGCAAACATATTGAAGTGATTTGCCATTTCCTTCTCCAGCTCATTTTACAGATTAGGAAACTGAGGCAAACTGGGTTAAGTGACTTGCCCAGGGTCACACAACTAGTAAGTATATGAGGCCAGATTTGAACTCATGTCTTCCTGACTCCAGGCCCAACACTGTAACCATGGAACAACTTGACTGCCCAAGAATCAAAGGATATGAGTTTAAATCTAGGCACCATTACTTATCATGTGTGTATGAAACATTGAACAAGTTATGTTATCTCTCTAAGTCTCAAGTGCCTGCTCTTAAAATGAGCCATTTGGACTAGAATCTCTCTATGGTTTCCGCTACATCTAAATCCTATGACCTATGACCACTCCATCTTCTGAAATCTCATAGCACTTATTGTCTGGGTCTCTCACTTAGCAATTAATCACGTACTGCCTTGGGACATTTCTTGCATTATCGTCCTGTATTTTGAATCCATTTTGTCCAACTAAACTTGTCCAATTATCTTACAATCTTCTTGACTCTTAAAAGCTTATATAATCATATAAATCTATAAGTTCTGGACTTTGAAGGGACCTCATAGACCAGCTCTAAAATTAAAGCTATTTTTGAAGCAGGAATCTCCAGAAATATCCCTGGAAGGTAGTCATCCAGCAGCTGTTTGAAAGCTACCAGAGATATTAAAGCTATTCCATTTTTGATTCAACCTCCTTATTACGAGCAGACAAAGCAGGCTTTTTTTCTTCCTTAATCTTGGGACTCCTTGCAGCCACTGCACAAGGCCCTACTTACAGGAGATAGTGAATAAATGTCTGATTGTATTTTAAATTCAACCTATAGGTTACTCAATTTCCTTTCCTTGTCTCTGGTGGAATTCATACTGGAATGCCATTTGGAATGCTGTTCTGAGAGTCTAGGCTATGGAACCACTATGGAACCCTATGGACAGGTAGACAGAAAGACCCTTGATATAAAAAGATTTGTCATAGAATCATAGAACCTCAAATTTAGAAGGTGTCTCCGAAGGCACTTACTCCATTACATGTATGCACAGAAATCTTTTTTGCAGCAGCTCCAACCAGCTTCTGCTTAAAAGCTGACAGTGTGGGAAACACTCTATTTCAGAAGGCAGCCCACTGAACAGCATTTGTGGCCAGGAAATCTTTCCTTACATCACGTTTAAATATACAAACACTACTAAAAGGATAGCCTCTCCTATTTCCACATGATAAAATATATCAATCTATGTCTAAACAATACAGCGCTTTCACTACTTCAAGATTCTATGCTTTTATTTGTAGTTAAGTGGGAAGAATAGTAACTCTGAAGTTTAAAAAAACCTGCATTCTAATCACATCTTTGACATGCAATAACTATGTGACCTTGGGCAAGACATTTAACTCTCCTGTGACTCAGTTTCCTCATTTGTAAAATGGAGGGAGGAGGGAGTTGGGATAGATGGCCTCTGGGGTTCTTGCCAACTCCAGATCTTATGATGTGCCTCACTGCAACTCCCACACAATTGTTCCTAGTTTCACCTTCTGGGCCAGACAGGAGAACTTTAATCCCTTTTCATGTGATAATCCTTCAAATACTTGAAAACAGCAGTCATGATCTTCCCGTCTTCCCCACCCCAGTCTTCTCTTCTCCAGACTAACCATCCTGAGTTCCTTCAACTGAACCTTGCGTTACATGGTTTTCAATCTGTTAAATAAGTGTATATATGCATATGTATGGGCAACTAGGTGATGTAGTAGATAGAGTTGGGCCTGGAGTCAGAAAGACCTAAGTTCAGATCCTGCCTCAGATGCTTACCATCTGTGTGACCCTGGGCAAGTCACTTAACTCTGTCTGCCTCAGTTTTTTCATCTGTAAAATGAACTGGAAAAGGAAATGACAAACCACTCCAGTATCTCTGCCAAGAAAACCCCAAATGGAGTTACAACTAAACAACATGTATTTATGTATTTTAATTATGTATAGCTCAAGAAAAAAAAAAAAGAGGAATCCAGACTATCTGCATAATTATCTCAGTTCTCCCCATCTCTCTTCAAGTTAATTCTGGGACAGAGGCTCATAGTATATTGTATCCACTCCTTCTCACCAGGAGCCCCAAGGACTATGGTAATACCCAGCTGGTGGGCATGTTGTTTGCCCGAAAAGCTTTCAGAGTTATAATAACTCATCTGCTTAAAACCATGTCAAGGTCTCACTAGCAATATCCACCTGATTCTAAAGATCTGATGAAGTCTCTCACCTGAAATGACCGCACAGCAAGAGAGGACTGATAATAGCGGCCAAGCATCTCCCCAGCCACTGGAGCATCAGCAGTGTTTTCATTAAGGCCTCTTCCAGGCTTACAAGTTCATCGCTTTTAACTTTGCTCCTTGATCACTTCAGCCCCAGCAGTGTGCTGGCTACAGGAGTCTAGAGGCAGTGACTCACCTCTGTTCATTACATTTCCCTGTTCAAAAACCTTCAGAGCCTGCCCAGACCCAGGGTGTTGTCATGGGAAGATAGTTGGATTCTAATCATGAATCTGCCACAGGATTGTAGAGTTACAGTTGAAAGGAAACTTGGAGGCAGCTAGTTCAGCCCTTTCATGTTATAAATGAAGGATAGAGGCCAAAAATTGTTAAGCCACTCGCTCAAGGTCACCTAGCTAGAAAGTGTATAAGCAGGATTTGAATCTAGGTCTTTATGATTCCAAATCAACATTTTGCTATGCCAACAACATTTTGAGTATGTCATTTAAGCTCTATGGGCTTCAGTTTACTCATCAGAATCTCAAAATTAGGAGAGATTTCATAGTTACCTCTTTAATCAAGCTCTAGCCATGTTCAGTTTTGCATATTTCTTGGAACTGGCCCATATCTAACCAACGGTTGCTTACAGAGGAGTTTCCCAGTTCTATAATCTTTCTGACCACTTAAAGAGACACCATAAGGATGAAAGCACTGAAGTTAGACTTGCCAACAAGTATAATTGGGTTTAAGGGATATATATCCCTTGCATTTTGTCCATTTTCTTCATGCTTGACAAAAGGAAGCCTGCAGTCACAATAATAACGTTAACATGTATTTATTTACAATTTGGACACAATAATCTTGACAGGGCAAGTATTATTATCTCCATTTTATAGATTAGGAGCCTGAGGCACAGAAAGATAAAGCGTCTCTCTCAAGGTCACTCAGCTCCAAAGTAGAGGTCACCTACTCAGATGTGTAGCTAAATAATCCCAACAAGTACCATTTAATCATTTCTTTAAGTCAATGGGGGATCCACTTTCTCCTTGGGTAACCCATTCCATTTTCAGATAGCTCTGAAAAAGTCACAGTGTTAGAATGTCAAAGCTATGAGTCTCTGAGTCTGTACTCTAGAATTCAGTATTATCCATTTTTTTATTGTGGTTATTTCTGCCCTTGTCTTATCTCTCCTTCTAGACTGTAAGTCTCACCAGGGCAGGGACCAGTCTGTCGATTAGGATTTCTTAAGCACCAGCTATGGGTCAGGCACTGTGCTAAGTGCTTTGCTGGACCATATCTTATTTATCTTGGTTACATCCACTAACACGGAGCATATAAAGTTGGCATTTAAGAAACTTTTTTTTATATCAAATAGCATTTAACTCCAGGATAGATTTATACAAAGCAGCAGTTCATTTTGCATTCACTTTCAAAGTATCAGAATACACTGCCACAGAAATAGAAGGTCCTCAAAGAAAATCTCCTGAGTGCATTTGTCTTTAATTCCCACATCCACAGTCCATCTCTCTGGCTACCATCCAGTGTACAGTGTGAATGCTTTTCTTCTCTGCAGGATAGAAAGAAATATATAATTGATTTTTATATATCACCTTTCATATATCACCTCTCCCAAGTTTCTTGTAAACACAGTTTGCCCAAAACTGAACACCAGGGACAGAGACAAGGAAAGAAAGAACCAGAATCAAAAAGCTCCCCAGTGACTCCCTTACAAGGGGCAATCAAACCAAATCAAGCAAAGGGTTCTGCCATTTTATTCCTAGCATCTAGCATCTGGTAGGTACTTAATAAATTCTTGTGGGTTGTTGATTGGCTAATTGATTGATTCTCCAGAATTTTTCTCCCACTCAGAAATGACATAAAAGTGAAGACTTGAAACCATTCCTAACATAGAATGTTAAAGCCTAAAAGGGTGACTTTTTCTTGGAGGATAGGGAAATTCCCATGTGGTGCCATAATGTGAAGAATGTGGAAACTCCCCCATAGATGCAGATCAGCAAGGAAAACTCTCAGTGTAGAGTCCCCCTCCTCACTGAAACAGATCCACAATTTGTCTGCACCTTGGAGTAATAGAAGTTCCCCAAGACACAAAGATTAAGTGACTTGCCTGTGCCGTAGTCCCACAGCTAGTATGCTTCTGAACCAGGATTTGGACCCAGATCTTCACGATTCCAAAACTAGCCCTCTATCTTATTATAGATAATATAATCTTATGTTATAATATCATATCATATAAATATAGTATCTTATTATTATATACACACTGCCTCTCCTTGGGAGAACTTGGAACAGAAAACTTTGAATGTCACAGCTAAAAGAAACCTTAGAACAAATAACAATATCACATCTGGAGAGGTCCTTACTTAGCAATCTTCTAGCCCAAACCACTTATTTTGTAGATAAGAAAACATAGGCCCAAAGAGGCAAGAAAAAAATGTATTAAATATCCTGCCTACATCCCCAAGGTCTTGAGGCAGCTTACAGGTTGAAATGCAGCATAACACAGGGCTTTTAAGGATAAAGAGAGAACAGAGACTATCTAAAGAAAGCAGAAGAAATAGATACTTTCAGAATGAACAGATTATAGGTGAGCAGCAAAACTCTGTTTTATCTTCCCTTTCTTTGGGCTGCCTTAATCTGAAGAATTAATCTGAGTTAAGAAGTTAGTAGCTAGTAATT